GAAACTGCCGAGGATCGTCGAATGAGCGTACTCATGCGATAGATCTAGACTTGTCGAACACATTCCAATCGATGAACTGTTNTGAACTATTGTTTTCAGAACAATACAACAGTACAAAACAGTAAATAATCTTTGTATCTCGTCTGAACAAGATGTTTTAGAGTCTAAATCAATTTAATATTACCTTTTTTTCCATTAATTAAATACAAAGATAGTTTGCCAGGCAAGGTAATATACGCCCACTGGCAGCTTTGATTTTGAACATAAATATTTAGCAGTACAGCAAACATCATACACTTCTTTTTAACTCTTTAGGGCGATACTGAATAATATTGAGTATGAGTTATTGCCCTAGTTCTTGAAAACGTGTTCAATCTTTAGCTTGTGAAAACTCTAGAAGACAATATTCAATCTTCAGCGTGGTAATGAATAACAAAACCAAGTTTTGTCAAAATTCGGCAAGAATCATGCCTTCTAGAGTTTTTATGAGCTACAAATTGAACGAGTTTTCAAGAGCAAAGGCAATAACTCATACTAAATATTTTTTCGATTTTTCTCATTCTCAATAGGCTTTATCCATTGGTGATAACAAACACTCAAGCCAAATTTCGTTAAAATCCGTCAAGAATTGTGCCTTCTAGAATGTTTACAAGCTAAAAATTGAACGCGTTTTCAAGAATAAGGGCAATAACTCATACTCAGTATTTTTAGATTCTTCTGATTTTCATTAGGGTTCATCCTTGGGTGATAACCAACACTCAAGCCAAATTTCGTTAAAATCCGTCAAGAATTGTGCCTTCTAGAATGTTTACAAGCTAAAAATTGAACGCGTTTTCAAGAATAAGGGCAATAACTCATACTCAGTATTTTTAGATTCTTCTGATTTTCATTAGGGTTCATCCTTGGGTGATAACCAACACTCAAGCCAAATTTCGTTAAAATCCGTCAAGAATTGTCCCTTCTAAAGTGTTTACAAGCTAAAATTTGAACGCGTTTTTCAAGAACAAGGGCAATAACTCATATTAAATATTTTTCAATTTTTCTTTTTTTAAATACGGTTTATCCATGGTGATAACGAACACTCATGCCAAGTTTCGTCAAAATCCGTCTAGAATTGTGCCTTCTAGAGTGTTTACGAACTAAAAATTGAACGCGTTTTCAAGAACAAGGGCAATAACTAATACTTAATATTTTTCAATTTTTCTGATTTTCGATAGGGTTTATCCTTGGGTGATTACAAACACTCACACCAAGTTTCGTCAAAATCCATCAAGAATTGTGCCTTCTAGAGTGTTTAC